ATTTTTCTGAACGAAACTAGGTCCGATTACGACTCGTTTTTTGTGTAGCGCGCGGAAACGGAAATTAATTCTTTATGAGTTAATTTCTTAGAAGAACTCTCTCTATTTCTTCACATATTCCGCCAAACGAAGTTTTTACCTTTCTCCACTCGAAAGGAAAAGAAGAAATCAAATTTAGTAACGGCAAAACAGCCGTTACAGGGGGGGGCCCTTAAGATGAAATTGTTGACAGTAGACGAAGAATTTCAATGTGGACACTCTGCTATCATGTATGTTTTTCACTTTTCACTTTTGTGCCAATCACTATAGAACTAATAATAGTTCATGAATATTATGATTATATAGTAGGATGATATAACTAAATGTATATATAAAAATATATAAACGATAATAAAAAACGTTAAATATAGATTTATCAGAAGTAATCATATCAGACTAGTATAGCATAAAAAAGTATGAAAAAAGCCAACATTTCTTTTCATACTTTTTCTGTTTGCTTGTGGTTTTAATCGAAAAAGACGTTTCATTAGATAACTTTTTTGCCTCAATCTATTCTCCTCGAACAGTAACTTCATGAAACAGTGATGTACCTAGTATACATGGAATTTTTGGGACAAGAGAAAATATAGAATTGACATCTTTTTCTATATATAAATGCAGTTTAACATTAAGATGACATGTTTTTAATCGTTCAAATATAAATTTAGCGTTACTGAATACTTCATTTGGTGCATAAGCAATTACATCATTCATTTTACTTTTAACTCTTCCAATCATGTCATCTGGAATGCCTTTGACATGACCAGATTCCAAAAAAATCCAGGTCAATTTAACTCGAAATCTTTGTGCAGAATAGCGCACTAAAAAAATTATTTTTATCTTTATACTGATTACTTGGTGAATCACTAATTAGATAAATTTTATCGTACTTTGTGTTTCTTCAACTTCTTCATGTAACTGCTTGTTTATCTCAAACTTTTTGTGTTTTTGTGCGGATGTCAAAACTGTCTTTCTATTTTTGTGTAAACAAAATTATCGAAAATTTTGATAAAATATAAATAACCGTTGAACTGCGAAAAACTTGTTTTTCCTATACATCAAACCGAATAAAACGCGCTTTACTTGTGTCTGATTCTGTTTTTATACAAGCATAAGATATAAAAACGCGTTTTCTGCGTTTTTAACGAAAAATATACCAAATACTACAGCCATATAAACCACCTAAAACGCATTTTCTCCAGCAATTTTAACGTTGTTTGTTATTTTTGGGATAAGAACGCGTTTGTGCGCTTGAATTAAAAGTCAAAACCTTGTTTCTAGAAATAATCTACGCAGAACTATTATTCTTTGATATACAAATTCCAAGAAACGCGTTTTAATTTCTAGCTAGACACAACTACAACGTACTTTTTTTATAATAAATAACGATATAAATCTACGATCAGAGTGGCCTATTATACATCATTCAACGCACATTTCAATACTGATTCGAATTCTGGAATCATTTTTCAATAAAAGTCGTATCTTTATGGAGAAATCTTTATTTTTGATGATTTGAAACAGTTTTCTTCAAACAACCGAACTTTGAAATGAAATTTTTTGAGATCCTATTGGAATAGGCATTTAAAAAAGAATAATATCGGAGACTTTGTCCAGTCCATGGGAACTACATATTTCTAAAAACTTCATCGATTTAGTAACAGAAATGATCAAGTTACACGTGCTTAAGATTACCGTTAAAAGCGAATTTCTAAAACTTCTTTCATCTACAGACAGCCAATATACATTTCTGGCGAAGATGAGCTCACATACACGAGGGGTCTCTGAATAGTACTTCTCAAATTCTTTAATCTCTAATTGACAGGAAGTGTAGGACGTTTACCACGGTAAATCTTCCGCTGGTCAGGCTGTTTTAGTCTCGATGCATCATCACACACGATGTCACTTATACGAAACTGGACTAATGCAAGAACATTATGTAAAGCGTCCATCATGTCACGCAAAGAAAAATTGATAGAGCACAGCCAAATAAATCAAGCATATCAATTCTTTTGATGCTGGAAATACAGTATATTATTTTAGAACTGTAGATCACTATGAGTGGCGGTGGGCTTTAAGCTGTTATACAAAATCGATCAATTCAGTGCTGGATCCATGTTGTCTAATTGTAAACATATACCCAGTTTGTAGCTCTGCGGTCGTAAACTATAGTATACGTCGAAATACATATCCATTGCAGATAAAATACGACATCGTAATCCTTCTCCACGGTAGACATCATCGTATTTTGTTGTAAACATCTCGTATTTTGACGTATACTACAATATCCATCATCATAAACTGTAGTATACGGCCATTTACCGCTGTAGTAATCATTGTCCTGGGTATGCAAACAATATGCAATTACAAATGAAGGACAAAAAAGCCACTTCTCTGTTTGATTCAACAGACATTCAATATACTGTTAGAACAATTATGTTCGTCTATATATTTTTTTTAAAAAGACAACCTATTTTAATGGTCTGCGGTGTCGTCACCGACGACGATTTAGTTCATTCATTAACTTCTGTTCTGCATACAGACACATTCGCAGTTATTATTCTGTTTTCATTCACCTAGTGTTATCGGTTATTATCATTTTACTAGTAAGTTGGAGAAGCTATTTTTTTATTGTTTTCGTCCACTGCAAACGAAAGCGCAATAGTACTAGATGAGACTTAACGTTCGTAATCGATGGCTGCTGTCTCTGCTCGATTTTTGCTCAAAGTAGTGTCATTCGTAGCAGCTTTTGCTTTTGTTTTATAAAAATCTTCGAGAGTTTCTTTTGCCTATAATCTGTGTGTTTTCAAAACCGAATCTCCAACCACTAGTTATAGTTAGAACGAGTTTTAAAATAAAATTTCCATAGGTAGGCTTAATTGGCCGACTGGTTGAATCGGTTTGGTGGTTAAACCGGTAGGTAAGTTTAGCAGACAAAGAATCGTCATATTTGAAAAATGCACGTACGTTTCTCAACATACCAGTTTTGAGAAGTCCAATTACTTAACGCAGCTCAGCTAATTAATTATCTGTAATTTCTGTACAATGTTTGCTCATTATCTTCATTCTGCCTGAGAATGGTCTAAGATATACACCGAATTGCTAGAATCAAATGTAAATGTTCTTTGTAGCAGTTCTCTACTTCCTGTTCTCCAAGTTATTCAAAGATCATTGTTGAAGCGGGAGAAGAAGCGATCAGTTTACAAACTATTAACGTTCACGAACTCTGTACCCAAAAAGAAAGAATCATTGTTTTGTTCATAAAACATTCTTCATTTAAACATTAGACTGTCTATGGATAAATGAAACCGTGCATGTTATAATCACTTTCTGATGAACTTCAATTGATCATTTTGAAACATTTATCGCTCTACGATCGCTATTATTCGTTTTTTGGAATCAACCAACGATACAATTGTCTAGTTAAATATTTAACATCAGATAATATTAGTTTGGGAAGATTAAATAGGGCGATTCCCGTATTCTGCAATGGTTATCAATCTGCTGAGAATGATGATAGACTGATGCTACGTTTATACAATAATGAATTAGCATCATATTTTTTGATGCCATCTCTTCATCATAAACGAGTACATTGGTCATTCTTAAACGAATGTGAATTATTAAGTAGAAAACAGCAAGAAAAACAATTAATTGATCAACGACAGCTGACTGATATTATTCAGAAATATCCGTTAAAATTTAATTCATTTTTTTCTAATCACATAGATCTGCGTTGTTGGTATTATGATCAAAACAAATTGAAACAATGGATTAAAGAAAATTATCCTCGACAGTATGAATTGATAAATAATTATAACTTTAGAGACGATTTTGAGAGTCCTAAGATTATTCAAATGTTAACTGGTATACAACAACTAGAAAATGAACGACAACTTTCATCGGCGATGAAAATTGCAGTTACGTACATTCTTACCCGTCTTTTAATACCATGCGGTTCGTCTACATCTGCATGATTTACGCTTATTCTTTCCGAATAAACTTATTTCTATGGCAAATACACGAAAAAAAATTGAATTATCCACCAAATTTTCAAGCTTAGAATTTGCTTCGTCTATATTGATACAAGCAGTGAATGCTACAGCTATTTACGAAAGCTGAAATTTTAAATTTGTTCGAAAACAGTTTTGTCACTTGGGGCATAGAGAAATACAGTTCATTCAGTTTTTTCAACGTTAAAAAAACAAAAATTTACTTGACTGCACTCTAAAAAAAGCGTCGTGTACAAAACTCAGAGGGTTTCCTAATGCTTTTAGGAAATGTTACTAAACCCGTAAGAGTATTTGAGTCATTCTTAAAAGCCTAAAAGGTCGTTTGAAGGGTTTATTTGTCTTACTGAACCTTAGGA